GGAAGAATTTCTTTCATTTGTGCTGTGTCTGGATGCTTTTTACTGTAGGCCTGCCTAGATTGAACTGAATCAAGTAGGACTAATTTGAGTATGCTGTATTGTATGTCAATTATGTAAAATTTTGTTTGTAAAGTCTTTTGTCTGTGAAATCACTTTGCTGTCTAGCTTGAAGCAGTCTGGTATGTGCAAAATACCTTAATTTTAATTCCACGTTATCTGATTGCTTAAAATTGTTGTGAAGTTTTTAGAGATTTAAATGCTGAGAATCACATTTAGGAAGGATTGGAATAGTTACAAAATGTGAAGTCTTGAGGATTGGGGCTTTTATAAAGGGATTTTGATTGTTTATGATGATACATTGGTTGAACACCTTTGGGTTAGCTGTTTTCACATTTCACTCAGGTTAAAGACTGATTAATTTGAGTTTTTAGTTTCACAAGTAAGTCAATAGGTCTGCCCAGATTGCCTTCTGTCTTGGCAGACAAATCACCATTATTGGCACCATGCTCTAACCAACAGAGCTAACCGGCTAGCCCTCAAATCACCATTAAATGACTAAGTTTTGCTATTTCATGTCTTAATTTCATGTCTTTCAATGTCTTGTTATTTTGAAATAACAAAAATTTCTTAAGTCTTGGTTATGAAAGATTATGTAAAGATGTAAGAAAGAAATTTTAAATGGAAATGACAAAAGCCAAGCAAATGTTTATTCAATTGTTTTTCTTTTTATCTTGCAGCAACGCACCTCTTGCTTTTTCCTCCAAAGTATGTTATGTTAAGTTTCGTGACCCATCAAGTGTTGGCGTGGCCCAGCATCTAACTAACACGGTTTTTATTGACAGAGCTCTCATAGTTGTTCCTTGTGCAGAAGGTTGGTATCTTACATGTTTTTTTTCCTATTGTTTTAATCCCTGTCCTATTACTGCCGTTGGCTTTCCTAGAAATTGGCAGCTAGACAGTACTCTGGGGAGTGTGTGTGTGTGTGTGTGTGTGTGTGTGTGTGTGTGTGTGTGTGTGAAAGTAAGAGTAAAATTTGGATAAGGAAATAATTTTTACCTAATAGTAACTTATATTAAAATGGTTAATTTATTACTTATGTATGTTCAAGATTTTTCAGCTTAACATTTAAAAAAAATCATAAACTGTTTGACTTTGATTTGCTTTGGCTTTCTGTAGTCAATTTGCAGGTTGTAAAAAAAGCTTTCTGTAATAAAAAAAAACAGTAAGTTGGTATGGGAAATTATTTTAAATGTGCAAATAAGTAAGAATTTACCCCATGTGTACAATTAAGAGTATTACAAATAGAAACAGTGTACACATTTTGCTAAATTGGGGTAAAGTGATATTTAGAAGAAAATACATACTTTTAAATATCTTGTTAAGGTAATTGACCTTGTTATTGTGAGACCATTATTTCATATTCAGAGTAATTGTTTGCTCTGCATCTAGAATTTACTTTTTTCTTTTAATGGCTTTTTTGGGGGGAGGGTAATTGAAAAAAAACATGGAAAGCAATTTTGCCAAGCCTTCATCAAGAAAATAGTTGTTGATGATAGGAACAAGGCCAAAGGCCTTACAGTTATTCGTTAAATTTTATGACTTAAATTGCTTTAAGAACTAATTATTACTAATATTTTTCAGTAACTTCTATTTACAGAGCCACTTGCCTATAATAGGCTGTGCTGAATTTTGTCAGTTCTGGTGTGTAATTAACTTTTATTCAGAGCTCTGACAATGGCATGTGTACATGGATTTTAGGATTGAGTTATTGTAAATTTAAATGTCCTTAAAGTATGGAGAAGGGGTGGGAGGTTAGCGAGAAACTGGTAAAGGTCCACAAAAATGATTACATTGTGTAATGATAAATATAGTAATAAAAAAGAAAAGAAAGAAATAATGCTTTCCCAGCTATCTGGGAATCCCTTAGCCCAGTCAAGTTGACTCCTGCAATGAAAAAAAAAGTCTTTAAAATAGATTTTCTGTGGTGGATGATGATAACGGTTTTACAACATAAAAGTTTACTAGAAACAATTTAATGGGCTTTCATATGTAATTTTTAAAATCTGTTTTAGTGGCCAGGCTAACATTAAAATAACTTAGTGTATAATAAGCAGTTTGTTGGCACTTTCAGGGTTTTATTCCTATTTCAGAATGCCTGTTTGGGGATGTCAAAAACATTACAGTCAAATGCACTGAGTCCCAGACTAGTGTTTTTGAAGTCCCAGAATAGGACATTCTGGATTTTACCAGATAAATTTGAAAGTTTCTTTCTCATGCTTGGAGGTTAGAGTGGGTAGGGAAAATTAAAATGGATTTAATTAATTAATTGATAAATATATTTTTATCTGCTGATCTGTAAGGGTATGCAAGCCCAGAATTGGAGAGTTAGGTGGGAAGGGAGCTGGTTTATGGTTTAGTTCTACATACTTTGTACTGAAATTTCATACCAAGAAATTGCATGGGAAAAAAGAAATCAGGTAGAAGTTTTTTTAAACTGGAATATTAGTTTATATCAGAAAAGTATACCACCAACAGCACAGCATCTTCTTTATGTTAGCTCATTACTGAATTGGAAGGAAGAATTTATCAGTGTGGTATGGAACCTTGCTGTATTCCCGTAGAATCTTCATATATCTGAGAAGCCCTAACTGATTTGTCATAAATGTTCCAGTTTATGGGCGTGTATTGTTTATGGGCTTTTATTGTTTCACTTGTAGAAATGAATAAATGCACATTCAGTTATAGCATTTTAATATTTTGAGTATTACCATTCTGAGACAAAGTTTTTGGGCATGAAAATTTAAATATCCTTTTATTACAATTTAAAGTAAATATTTTAGAATACTAACCTATAAAATAATTGGTATTAGAAAAACATTCAGATATATATTTTTCATTAGTTGTATTAAATACAACAGACGTGAATTTATGGAACCTGAAGAATTTCACAGTGAGCTATTAAGTCTTATTATGCACTGCAAGCAAAGCAATAATGCATTTTTGTCCTCAAGATAGCAGAGTGAGTTTGAAATAAAACAAAGGAAAGTGTTCCAGGGGAGTAAGTTCTATAAGAGGAGATATACTGTGATGCTGTAAGCAGTCTTCAGTTCATTTCACTGACTGCATTCTTTCCTTGATGTTATAGAAACAGCATCATGACACACATGAGAAAAACTGTAGAAAAAATGTTAGGAAAATTTTTTCAGTTTCTTTCAGTTTGCGGCTTTTTAGTGCAGACAGTAACGTAAGAAGATCCCAAGCTGTGAAAGTAATGTGTGATGTGTAACACTTTCATGCATATTAAGTATTAACTATTGTTAATTATACATGCCATTACAAAATAAAATGTACTTTTCATTATACTTGACCAGGTATGACCTCTTTTTGTTGTTGCGTGCATTTCAGATTTCTTTTTACAAACGTTAACACTTAGAAAAAGATAAGGTCAAACATAACAAGGATGTCAGCCTAATCATCAGTCATAACTTTATGTCCACATTTTCTGGTAGATGGATTTTGACTATTAATTTGGTTTTGTATGTTTTCTCTATGTGATATTTGTGCATTATTAGATGACTAGACTTGCCAAGGCAGACCTGTTACACTTGCCTGAGTTAGGCATTGTTTGCCATGCAACTAAACCTGCCGTCAAGTGAAACCTTCATTGGGGAAATGAGATCGGAGTCTGAACAGCAGAAGATGGACGCCCTGTCTCTGTTTTTTATTGTTTTACTTTAATTTCATTTCTTTTTCTTTATTTTGTCCCTTTTTTGTTTTTGTTTTTGTTTTTGTTTTGTTAAATCTCTTTCACTTTAACTTGTGAGCTGGTTTTCCAGTTCTTTGTAAATGGTATTCCATTAAGAGTTCATAATGTGTTGCAAATTATATTGGGAGATGATTAGCAGAGCTCAATCTTAAGATAAAATAAATGTTCATGCAGTAAATTAGGATACAGTGTTGTGAAGCTCATTGTGAGTCGTAGTTGGTGTCTATAGATTGATCAGGGATATTTTATTCTTGAGACATTAAAACACTGATCAGAACCTTAGGAACACTTGGTCTCCATGAAACATTTTTGTAGTTTTTTTCCACGTCTATACATCTCTCATAAAAACCAACTGGTAGCGTCTAATTTTCAGCCTTCCCCCTAGAATTTTAGGCATACAAAATGATCAAGGAAAATAAGTAAATTTTCTTATAACAATCTGTGGGTAAGGGAGAAGATCCTTTTCCTTTTATGATGATTATTCATTATGGAACTTTCTTGACTTATGAAGACTTTGTTGCCTATGTTGGGGAATGGTTATTTGAGAAAACTGTTGATTATTTATTTGCTTGTGTGTTTTTTCTGTTTGCTTGAATTTTTTGTTGAAAATTCTTCAGAGGTTACTAGCTTCTAAATGGATTCTTATATTAGGACTAATACTTTAATACTGTGAGAGATGTTTTCCTCTCAGTTGTCCGAGGAGTATAGTTTGGGAAAAGTGTTAAATGCTTGTTTTATACTTTTATACACTCTGATAGTATTTGTAGGGTGAATTTAAATTCTGTCTTGGAAATTAGCAATGGAACTTTTTCTTAAAGTACCTTTAATGATAATTAGAATTAGACCAAAATATTATTATGCTTATAGTTAAGAGTTGTAGCTTTATAGTAGTTTATTACTATCATGAAAGGCAATGAGAGTCTGATAACCTACTGATATTTATTTAAGCCAGAGGTAAAAGACTTTTGGAGAATCAACTTTTGGGCTTTGTTGAATATTCTTTTTGTTTGTGTAGTCTTTCTACACTGTCTTCTATAAATAGTTTTGTTTATTAATTGCCAAGTAATATTAAATTTGCCACATTACTAGATTGGAACTCTTTTTTTTTTAGGTGCGTAAATTAGGGTAGTGAAGCGTAGGGTTTGCACCTCAGGATGTCAGTTGATTCAAGTGTGTTCAGGTTTTACAAACCTTTTTTTAAAAGTAACACTTACTTAGATAAAACAGGTGTGATATCAGTATAAATAGTATAGTATGTATGTGGGGTATACATAATTACACATGTTAGTACTAGTAACTAATACATATAAAATAGATTATTGTTATTTGATGTCTTTAATAAGGCCTATCTACTTTTTGTTTATTTTTATGCATGTTAAGAAATCTGTTTTCCAGAATTTACGTTGAAATAAGATAACTTTGTTTTTGAAATTAGTAAATTAAAGTAATATAAACTTAGATGCTGCAAAGTTAGAAAATAACATTTGCTAAAGCTAATAAAATGTAATTTTTATTCTGTTCCTATAAATAAGGCATAATTATTATTTAAAGAAAGTTTTAAATTCCATCTTGAATTCCATCCATGTTTAGAGAGAGATTCAGATAATATTGTTTAGAGATTTATCTATACACATCTGGTTGTTTTAAATGGGATTTTTACCACTGAAACCAGGCATAATGAATGCTTTTGAAAATTTACTGCATAGGCTATATTTCAGTTTAGCATGGTTTTGTACACTTTGTGTTTTAAAACACTTTTGAAAAATTTATAATGGAAATGTGTATACGACATGAGTACTTCTTTGAAATATATCTATATGTAGTCAAGTTTTTAAAAAAATCCTTTTAAGGCTAAGAGGATAAGGAAAAATATATGAAAATTTTAGTCATTATCAAAATTAATTGATTAGAATTCAGCAATTAAATACGGCAAATCAGTATACTTATTTTTTTCATTTTTTAGATTGTAGGGATTTTTTTCTTAGTGTCTTAAGATTATTTTAGAGTTACTATTGTTATTGGCTGTTAGGCAATTAAAATGTTAATAAGCATGACATTAAGGCATTCATTAACCACCCTCTTCAGATATGTATACATAAATTGTTTCTAAAAGTTAATATTTTAAGAAGTTTCCTGAAGCTAGTGAGCTTTTTTTGGTTAGTTAGTCTCAAAATTTTTTTAGCAGTTTCCCAAGGCATATATTCTTTGGAACTGGATTCTTTTAGGTATCTGATGTTGTTGGTGAGATGCCTTACTAACTGAATGAGTGCAGGCTTTTTTAAAAAATTGAAGCTGATTAAAAGAAGTAGGTTTTTGTTTCTTCTGTCTGTTTGAAATTGAATCTATTGGGGGGTTATCAAAATTGTTTGCATCACACGTAGGTAGTTTCAGTAATAGGACAGGGCCACTCATTAAGGAACAAGTTTCAATTCGCACATATTTGTTTTTTCTTTTTCTTTTTTTTGACTAATTTGGTTATTTGCCATTTCTGGGGATTAAACTTTAAAAAATGTTCTTCTTTTCTGTATCTGATGTTCTGTGTGCTATTAGTGATGCAGCCAACACGAACGGTTGTCATGTGTAACACAACTTTCGATCACCGCGAAAACACCGTCCTGGGAAAGCGTCCATGCTTGATATCGTTTGGTTCATGAACATTAAGTTTCCAGTACAGGTGACCCATAGCTCAAAGTGTTAAATAATTGTCTACATTATTCAATTTTTAAAATAATGTTCCATTAATAAGATTGTTAGTCTTTGAACTTTTGCTCACTTTTATTTTTCCTAGTAGAGCAGGATAAAAGGAAAGACTTATGTTCTTATTTATTTCTTTATACAGATCTGATAGATAGATTCATTTATTATTATTATTTTTTAAGTGCAAGGGTAATTGTAAAATCATAGTGTAAAGTTTGTGTGGTGTTTCTGCTTTCTGTAATGTTTGGAACTTGCCTCTGCAGGTAAAATCCCAGAGGAGTCCAAAGCCCTTTCTTTATTGGCTCCTGCTCCAACCATGACAAGTCTGATGCCTGGTGCAGGACTGCTTCCTATACCAACCCCAAATCCCTTGACTACCGTAAGTACTATAAGCCCTCTTAGGAAAGGGGGAAACATTCAACTATGTAATCAGTTGAATAAAGAGCCTAGAAAATTGTTTTCATTTTGTATTTTTTTTTTTTTTTTAATGAAGAGGATTCAGAATCTCTATTTAATTTTTTCCTCATATTATCACTGCATTAAACTGCCATTTGGAATTCTCCTGAAGTAATTGGGGATTCATTTATATTTGAGAATTCAGATTATTCATTAGGAAAACAGTTATTGAAACTCAGTATTTTAGGTAGCTTGGGGAATTGGAGGATCTAGAAACTGTATTTCCTAGTTTATAAGGACTAAATCTGTTTAAACAATATGAAATGACCCACAGCCTTTGTAATGGGAAAAAATATCTCAGAGAAGCATTTGTCTGATAGTGATAGAATGTAACAAGATGAAAACATGGCAAAAATATTTTTCCGTTAACTATGCAGAATAAAATAGTAATTTACTTCCTCCTTTGTGATTTCCAAGTGATGTTAAAAAAAAAAAAAAAAGATATTACCAGGGCCAGCCCGGGGCTCACTTAGGAGATCCCTATATAGGGATGGCTGGTTAGCTCACTTGGGAGAGCATGGTGCTGACCATACCAAGTCAAGGGTTAAGATCCTCTTACTGGTCATCTTTAAAAAATAAAAAAAGGTATTAATGTTACTAGATTCTTGTTTTTTGTATAAAAGATTCTGGTCATATTTATTTTAAAATAAAGGCCATCTTTCTTCAAAAAAAAACCTAAAACAAAGTAGAGAGCTCACCTTAATTGGGAGTTGAATCTAGTTTTGTGGTGTCATAGGACAAAATTACAACAAATTTAGTTTAAAGATCTCAATTAACTTTATTGTGATTCTAGAATTGGGCAATACTTCATTTCATAAAATAGAGTAAGTGTTCCAGTGAGGTGGGCAAAAAATGTTGGCTTTATATAGATAGGAAAGGGCTGAAGAAAGCAGACACAAAGAACAAAGAATATATTAATTATATATTATATTACATTATATTAATTTTCCAAGTTATTTTTTTCTTATAAGGTGGGGGGCAGGGAGACAAAACAATAAAAAATAATGATTGATTAACATCTGGTTACTTCAAGCTATCTTTTTTGTGTAAGGATTATAGCAGAGGGAACTTCATTATGCTGATTGAAGATATAAAATGGCCTGTTTTCGAAATTGGTTTTACTCTTTCTGTCCTGAATTCTCAGGTCAGACAACAGTTTATGTTTGGTGACTTGGAACTTTAGCAGGGGTGACTCAGTTTTAATTTTTAGTCTGGTCTCTTGGGGCCTAGTGTAGAAGCTTGGTCTAAAACAGTTGTCTCCTATAATTTTTATTTGACTGTAGTGTTGGATAGGGAGTGACCTAATAAATAAGCTTTGTGATTGTAGTTAATTTATCCACATTCCCAAAGTGGTTTCTGAAACTTTGAAGTGCAAGATTTTAGGTCTTTTAATTTTTACATAACATTGTTCTACTGGAGATCTGGATTGTGATCCATGAGGGGAAATGCCTTTTAATTGTACTTATGTTTTCAGGGATCAGGAATGGCAGTCAATGTGGTTGAAGAATAGTAAGTATGGGGAAGGTAGATGGTGTTTGAGATTGGAGGGATAGATAGGGCACCGATTATGTAGGGCTTTTTGGATCATGCAAAGGAGTTTGAATTTTATTCTTAAGGTATTTAGAAGCCATTGATAGATTTTAAGCAGGGGTAAGACATGATTTGTCATGTTTAAAAAGAAATCCTGTTAGAACAAGAAGTGACATTGGTTTTATAAACTTGTTTTCACCTTTAGGAAGTGCCATTACTTAACAGTTGTTAAATCTTAGTAGTTTTGCAACATACTGCATGTATAGTCAATGGTCAAAATTTTCTAGAATAGGGTAAGTTGAAATGAAAATAGGTGTGTTTTTTTTCCTTGAAAGTTCTTTTTGTTAATTCAGAAAGTTTTTCCCATTTTCAAATTCTCAGATCTTCTGTCTCTTCTAGTTCATGTTAACAATAATATATTCCTTAGTACTTGAACTAAAAATTGAATTTGGTAATGTTATGGAATGATTATAAGATTCAAAAGTTTTTGTCCTTTTCCTGTCATAGCGTAAGTAAGGGCTTAATACTTCAGATTTCTTAGGTAAACTTTGTCTCTATTTCAATTTTAGTGTGTCCATGGTGGTACCCTGCCTTTACCACTTGGTAGCTGAATAGCTTTGGACAGATATTTAATTTCTCTAAGTCTTTTTCTTTTGTTTATGAAATTGGCATAAGAATAATGCCTATTTCTTAGGGTTGGTATGAGGATTAAGTTAGTAACTCAGCAAAATTAGATGCTGTGATAATTGTTGACTATTAGGAACTTACACATTTGGTGTGTTTGAATGAGCAAAGTACAGTTGGTCCTCATCATATGCGAATTTTGTATTTGTGAATTCACTTATTAGGTAAAAATTTTTTTGAAACCCCAAGTCAATACTTGCAGCACTTTTGTGTTCATTTGTGGATTCCCAGATGAGGCCAGAGTGACACTCTGCCTTCCTGTTTTGATACACATGTTATAAATAAGCGTACTTTTTGCAGTCTTAGTGCCACGTTTTTCAAATTTTTGTGGTTTGTTGGTGATTTCACTGTTTAGATTGGCCCCCAAGTGTAGTGCTCAAGTGCTGTGTAGTGTTGCTAAGCACAGGAAGGCTTTGATGTGCCTAATGGAGAAAATACTCACGTTTGTTAGGTAAGCTTTGTTCAGGCATGAGTTATAAGTGCTGCTGGCCGTGAGTTTAATGTTAATGAATCAACAATGTATATCAACTTTGATGTCTTTAAACAGAGACACATAAAGCAAGATTATGTATATATCAGTTGATGAAAATGTTGTGACCAGAGGCTCATAGGAACTTTTTACCCTGCAGTTTCTATAAGAACAGTGGTTGAGTATTCAGTAATTCATTGTTTGTGGAAACTTTATAACCACCTTGAATAATGAGAATTGACTGTCCATTTTTAATGTCAAGTTTAAAAAGTTGTTAAAGTATGCAGATAGTTAAGAAATATGTTATATTTCTAATTACATTCAAAATAATGTGTGACCTCACTCTCTGAATAATTCAGAAATATACATCACTTAAAGCTAGGAGTCTCTGTTTTCCTTTCATTCTTGTGTTGGTCCATTCTTTTCGACATTGGAGAGTGGTAGTTTTGGACACTAATAGAAAATATGTGCTCTGAGTTTGTGTGTATGAGTGTTTTGTTTTTTTTTTATAGCTTGGTGTTTCACTTAGCGGTTTGGGAGCTATACCAGCAGCAGCACTAGACCCCAACATTGCAACACTTGGTGAGATACCACAGCCACCACTTATGGGAAATGTGGATCCTTCCAAAATTGATGAAATTAGGAGAACGGTCTATGTTGGAAATTTGAATTCCCAGGTAAACTTAAGAAGAAAATGAGCAGCAGTAGCTCTTATTCTTTTTTGTTCTTAAAATCATATTGATTGATAAGTAGTATTTACTTGATTTTTTAAAAGAATATCCTTTATCAAAGAGTGTCACTTTGTTTCTTCAGACAACGACAGCTGATCAACTACTTGAATTTTTTAAACAAGTTGGAGAAGTGAAGTTTGTGCGGATGGCAGGTGATGAGACTCAGCCAACTCGGTTTGCTTTTGTGGAATTTGCAGACCAAAATTCTGTACCAAGGGCCCTTGCTTTTAATGGAGTTATGTTTGGAGACAGGCCACTGAAGTAAGAAATCTTAAAGAAATTTCAATGATTTTGAAAAAATTTAAAGTATTTTTGATATAATAAGGCTTTTTTTTTTTTTTCTTTTTAATAGTAATTGGAAATTTGTGGAAAGGAAGACTTTGTGTTAAGTATAAATGAAATACATGGGCTACTCACCATTTTAGCCTTCTAATTCCTAACGTATTTGAAGATACTTATCTTGTTTTCTCCTTTTTTATTTTATAAGATCTAATTTAATGTTAACATTATTTGTATATTCTACATAATGGTCATAGGTCTTTTTCTGTGAGCTTTATCAAGTCAGGTTGGTTTTGCATTATGACTGTAGATTATTTGGCAATTTAACATGTGGGTTGAACTACAATACTTCCAGTAATAAGAACTTTGGTAAATTTGAAATACCAGGAAGAAAATAATGTTAAGTACCCAGACATGTTTTAAACCAACATTTTGACTTTTAAGGTTTGCTTACATCCTCCTTTGCAAAGAATTGATATAGCATTTCATATACTCAAGACAAATTCTATTTCATGCAGATAATTGAGGCAAACATAGTTTTGTCTGAATTTCATAAGTGATTGCCTTAGTTACACAATTTGATGAGGTTTTTGCTTTTAAAGGATAAATAACTGTTCTTAATGGGTGCTTGTATTTCTCAGTGTTGAAGGGATAAATCAAGACATATCAAGTTCATTTATGTGCATCAGAGAAGCCACTCATACCTAGTAGGGGAAGAGTTTGTAGATGCCTCCCATATTTGAAGCTGTATCTGACTCAGTCATGGTCCAGGGTTGATTAAAATGGTGCACATATTATACAGCTTTCCCTTTATCCTTCCAGTAAGCACAGGTTATCAGCAAAATCGCTAATCTATGAATAGAAATGTCATTTTAGTATTAGTATCATCATTCTAATTCTCAGCTATGTGAAAAAGCACTTGCTGTGATCTATTTGAGTTGTTAAAGAAGTCAGTCAGTGTTTAGTTTTTCTTTTTTCCTTGCCTTTTTTTGGGTGTGTTAGCAAGAGATGATGAGAGGTAGGGATGAGATTAATTATGGTTTTGAGGTGGATTTTGGGTATTCTCTGTTCAGCTACATCCTTCTTAAAGTGCTTCTGAGATGTTCTCAGATTTATAAATATGTGTATCATATAAACATTTAATTGTTTCATGTTCTGTAAAACATGGTGTGTATTTGTGATATGCTAATATTTTTAATTTAGAATAAATCACTCCAACAATGCAATAGTAAAACCCCCTGAGATGACACCTCAGGCTGCAGCTAAGGAGTTAGAAGAAGTAATGAAGCGAGTACGAGAGGCTCAGTCATTTATCTCAGCAGCTATTGAACCAGGTAAGGCCATAGTGTTGTTACATAGGTTACAGTTTTAATGATCATAGACTCTTAGTACTGGAAGGAATTTTAGATGCTGTCTTGTTCAGTCCCTTCGTTTTATAAACAAGAAGACTGAAACTGAAGAAATTAGTGGCTTACTCACGTCAAATAATGACTTAGCACAAATCTTGTCGTTCACCGTAATACTGAATTGAGGCACATTAGCCTGAGTTAATCAGCTTTTTATATTTAAAGTCAGTTTTTGAAACTGATTTGCTAAAAGCAAAGCATAAATTATTGTGAAGCTAAAAAGAAAAGAGTAGATAAATTTAAAATATTATTATTAAACAGGTTTGCTTTCCTTCAAAGTTTCAATTTTAAAATTTTTAAAGAGAAGAGAGCCCATGATTTAGAAAAAATACAGATTCTCTGTTTTAGCAAAGTAAAGGAATATCTATTCAAATATTTGTGTTGCTAACTAAAATAATTTAAAAATTAAGTCTAAAAATGTCTAGATAGTTTACATTTCAGATTTTCTAAATTAACACTCAGAATTTAAGCTTCGATTCTAGCAAAATAAATGGAGAAAGGACTTAAAATCTCTGTCATAGGAATTACAGACATGTTATAATCTTACATTATGGCAGCAACAAAATATTACGAACAGCTGTTTATAATCATCTGGTTTATATGTACTGCTGCAGGGTGGCTGCACTCAACGAGTTTATGCAATGACTTTCTTGGATGTTTCTGAAGGATAATTGCACAGGAGGAGGCTGTACAGAGAGTAGGCCCCTTGCACTATATGTGGTACATTCCACTTGTGCCTAATTATTAACTGGGATCTTTAATTGTTCTGAGCTTACACTGCAAAGTGGTTTTTTCCTCCCAGAGTCTGGAAAGAACAATGAAAGAAAAGGCGGTCGATCTCGTTCCCACACTCGCTCAAAATCCAGGTCTAGCTCAAAATCCCATTCTAGAAGGAAAAGATCACAGTCAAAACACAGGTGAGAATTTCCGCTATTATATTTAAATTTTCTTTTGGTTTTGGTTTTATGAGTTTATGTCAAAATATCAGAATTTAGAAATTTCATTAGTGTTCACTTGGAAGTGTGGTTACCATTTAATATTGTTCTGATTATAATACTGTAGTTAATAATGAAGTTTTGTCTAGTTGATATTTACTTTTAATATTTCAACCAATTTTCAGTTTTCGAAATTGGTTTTCTATCTAAAGATGCTTTATTCCTGATTTCTCTAAGAGTAAACAAGTCTTTATACAGACGTGCAGAAACTTTTTATTCTTCATATTGAGAAAAGGGAACATATTTAGTGGCTATGCTAAAAATATTGCTCAAATTGTAGCTTTTTTGGTTTTTTTCCCCAGTCCACTCCTGGTCTGGGGAGCACTACCCCAGATCTTGGTTTCAAGCAATTTCCTATCTCTAATATCACATGTCAAATGGAGTCTTTGGTACTCCTAGTGATAAGAGCCTCCTCTGTCCATTTTTGAATATGAAACACAGGAATAACTTGCAGCTTCAGCTCCAGTTGTTGTCCTTTGCTTGAGCTTTGTTTCTGTTCTGTTTTATCGTATTTTATTTAGATTGTAGCTTTGCCATATTAATTTTCTGTTTTATCTGCCATTGTTTTGTGTTTGGTACAAAGGAATATCAAAGTGTAAACTTGCAACACCATCTTGATTGGAAGTACCCTAAGAATCAAGTCAAAAGTGATAAGTTTTGTTATCTTTAAGGTGTGGATGGGGCTGTTGTTGAAATGTGAAAGTGTATATAGTGGACCCTAATTGCATGTTGTGTGTACACACGTACTCATACTTGTGATTCGAGAGAGAAGGGAGGGAAAAGTGTGTGTGCATATATGTGTGCATGTTGTGTGGATATTAGAGAAGGATGAGGGTTTGAGGGGAGGGAACCAGTGTGCTGTACATTGAGCCTCACCAGCAACTCAGTTTAGTTTGTTTTTCTACGATGATTAAGGAGATAGAAAGAATGAGATAGGAAAATAGGATGTTCTTTCTTTGATTCTAGTAAACTATTTCTAGCTATTTACTGTTTGTTTTTTTTTAAACATCTCTATTATTCTTAGTTTGCAAAATCTCCTTTGGAATATGGTTTTACTGTCTGTATCCAAGGTTTTACAGTACGGCAAGGTCAGAACCAAGTGAAAGAAGTTGTTTCATGTCCAAGGAGTAAGGCAGTGTAGCAAAAGCCAGAACTGGAAAAGGAAAGTGGAACAGAGGCAGCAGTGGTACTAGACTATGGATAATTCCATATGTTGACAGGATGTGGTGAGGGTAAAGGAGATCAAGGAAATATTAAACTGGGCTGAAGAGTGATAACTTCTTTTTTGAAGGAAAAAAGTCCAATAACTCGAATCTCATTTTTTGTTGATTGTAAGAGAGCTAAGTGCCAAGGCTGGAAAAAAACCAAAACTTGATTAGTATCATTGTTTCCTGTATTATCTGTGAAGCTTTATGTGCTTTTTGAAATTATGGCAAATAATTTATCCACTTCAAGGTTTTTGTTTTTATTTTGAGTATATTTGGATGTTTTCTCCCTCCAAGGGTTATCATGGGAGGGGTTATTTAGTCTAAGTTGAAATTTAACTATTGTTTTTATTCATGGGAGTACTTTCATATAGATCTATCTGTGTAGCATTAGGAATGATTAGTTCTTGGCATATATACGTGTTTGCATGTATATATATATTATATAAATATATATATAGAGAGAGAGAGAGAGAATCAGCATATTCTTTTTTTTTTCCTTTTTGTCTTTTTTCGTGTCCGGCAATGGATCGCAACCCTCAGTGTCGCGCCCGTACCGGACCGGGACCGGCAACGGGATCACAACCCTTGGTGTTGCGCCCGCACCTCGCTCAGCCAGTGAGTGGGAACCAGTCTGTATGTGGGATCCGAACCCTCGGCGGGAGCGCCACCGTGCTCCCAAGCGGCGCACTGTAGCAGTGCGCCACCGGACCGGCCCAAGAATCAGCATATTCTATTTTTATACATGTGTATAGATACACATAGCCTTGACTGAATTCATAAACAAATACAAAAGATGATGAATTCTCTTTAAAGGAGGGGGAAAAAAATTCATTATCTAAAAACATTTCAAGATCTTGACCTGGAAGGACCCCACATCCCCTAGGAGTCTGGGAGAGGAAGACAGGCCTTTTCTTGACTTTCCTTCCTCTGCTATAGGGAGTTGATATCCTCAGGTCTTGCTCTGACCCACTAGACTCAGTGGGAGTGTGGGTTGCAGGAGCCCTTGCTCTTAAAGGTCCACCCTCGTCTGCTTTTTTACCATCTTCAGATGCTTCTGGAGCTGTGCTTCCCACCTACTAACCCCTCCCCTCCCCCCTTTCTTTTCCCTTCCCCTTCTCATGCTAAGAGGGAGGAAGGAGTTTCTTATCACTGTGACCTTGGTGAGGACTGTGGAGATGTTTCCACTTTGTCCAAATTTTGATATGTGTTTTACTCACAGAGACAATGTTAGAAAAGGTAGGTAGTACTGTAATTATTAAATTTTTAAGTTAAGTAACCTTAACAGATCAGCATAGGAACTATAAGACATTTTATCATGTTTTTATGGAAAACAACTGATTTACAAATGAACTTTGATGTGACAGAATGGTAAGATGCCATTTGTTTACAGTTAAATTTAAAAATACAGTTTTGCAAATTATTAAAAAATGAGAACTGTTAACAGTGACTCAAATATTATCTTTGGTTGGGTTATATCTGCTCTTGACAACTTAGCATTCTCAATCAGAAAACTACTAGTGGGTGAGATGCAGACATGAAAATATTTAATGTCAAAATTAAAATGTAATTACTCTTGAACTCTCAGGACCTTTCAGGATAAGGTGGGGAGTCAAGTGACCAGTGCTTTTTTATTATTGTTATTTATTAGGGCTATGCTTAATTTTTCAGATAGAAGTTTCTTTGCTTAATTTAGGTTGGAAAGTACTGCTTTGAGGAAAACAAAAGAATTATTTATATCTTTAGCAAGTTTAACTGGAACAGAAGTCTTATATTAAGACTTTTTTATTAAGTGCATAGAAGCTAAGGTACTCTAAAAGATTACCCTATGTGGATATTTGTAAATAAACTAGAATATCTTAAGTTTTGCAATTTTGCCTTAACACCTACTACTTGACTTTCATGTCTCTTAGGTTACTAGTGATAAAGATTTCAACAAACTGAGTTATCTTCTTGTATTAAAATTGTGGTATTAAGACAAGTGTATTATTTTTAAGGCCATATAACAGTTGAAAATTAGCTGTTGGAAACAAAATTTTTTTTTTTTTTTCCTTTTTGTCTTTTTTCGTGTCCGGCAACGGATCGCAACCCTCAGTGTCGCGCCCGTACCGGACTGGGACCGGCAACGGAATCGCAACCCTCGGTGTTGCTCCCACACCTCGCTCAGCCAGTGAGCGGGAACCGGTCTGTATGTGGGATCCGAACCCTCGGCGGGAGTGCCACCGCGCTCCCAAGCGGCGCACTGTAGCAGTGCGCCACTGGGCCGGCCCCGGAAACAAATTTTGACTAACTGAAAAATATGTTTAAAAAACAAGATTTTATTATTAATTGAAGATTGTCTTAGATATTTTTCTGATTTCATAGCATACCACAAGCATGGTCATTTAACTATATGTATTTCTTTTATAAATATTTATTCTAACTTAATTTATTAAAACATGACTGTCAAGGTGAGATTTAGTTATACAAAGCATACTTGTGGAAGTTTATTTGAACTCCTTGGAATAAATAAAGATATAATTTAAAGTTTGCATTTTTATGTTAATTTTTAATAATGATGATATTGAGAATTGAGTTGTAAGCATTTACTCTGTGCTAGCAACTGCTAGGCAGGTTTATATACATCATCTGATTTAATCCTCATACCAGACCTAGGAGGTATAGGTATGATTCTTAACTCCACTTTATAGATGAAGAAACTCAGGCTTAGAGAGGTTAAATGACTAGCCAGAGTTCTCACAGCTGGTGTGTGGCAGAGCTGAATTTCAGAGCTAGATTGTCAGACTCCAAAGCCGGTGAGTCTAATTGCTTTGTTATTTAAGTTGTGTGCATATATTTTACTAAGTAGTTCCTAGGATACTTCATTATGAAAAAAATCACATTTTATATAAATAATTTCAGTGGGGAAAAGGGTTTTAGTTAGAATTGGAATATCAGTTATTTTTCCTGCAATAAATCTATTAATAAAGGCTTCTTTTAATAGTTGTGTTTATAGCTACTGCAATAAAATCAAAGCATTACAAATGTAACATTTGATAATGTCTAGTTTTAACTTATGAGTAATAATTTGTATTTTCCTGTCACACTAGCACTGTCATTAGTACTGTACTTACTTATACATTCTTCTTAATGTGTGTGCTAATGACTTGTAGCACACAGCCATTTGTAGAAACAATTGAACCATATAACCACTGTTCCCTGTTAAGATGAGTTATAACCAGATTACATGCAAGTCACAAGTTGAAGACAACTTATGGTATGAAAGCATGGACCATGGAAAAAATCTTCTGTACTAATTTGAGGTGTATAAAAATTAGTAAAAGAGAAAGCCACCCCTGAAAATACCAACTTAAGTCTGACATAAGAAATAACTGTTAAACTCTTTCTGCTTCTTTCTTTGTGTTCTAGACAGTAAAATATCTGGTAAAGTTTCCAATAAATAATCTTGTTTTAGACAGTCTAACTAAAGCATTATGTAAGAGAATTTAAAGATATTGATAAATACTGTTAGAATAGATTTTAAAATTTTCTTATTTGAAGGGCTGGCCCGTAGCTCACTTGGGAAAGCCTTGTGCTGATAACACCAAGGCCACGGGTTCAGATCCCTATATAGGGATGGCCAGTTAGCTCACTTGGGAGAACGTAATTGCTGACAACACCAAGTCAAGGGTTAAGATCCCCTTACTGGTCATCTTTAAAAAAATAATAAATAAAAATAAATAAATAAATTTTCTTATTTGAAAGATCTCTTACATTTTTTAATAATGAAATTCTAAGTGTTGATATTTTAACAATTTGTTTTTCTTTAGGAGTAGATCCCATAATAGATCACGTTCAAGACAGAAAGATAGACGTAGATCTAAGAGCCCACATAAAAAACGCTCTAAATCGAGGGAGAGACGGAAGTCAAGGAGTCGTTCGCATTCACGGTGAGTTTTAGAGAAATTAAAGATAATGTTTTAATTGGATTTGTTTGTTAAAAATCTGTTGTGGTTTACGTTTTTAATGAGAGAAATAAAACTTTTTTTCTGATTGTTTTAGTAATCTAGGATTAATATTGATTGCCATTGATTTTAATCTGATGGTCAGTATGACTTGCGAGGTTTCCAAACTATTCAACTCAGCTTGGTTCACTTAACAGCTTCATGTACACCTGAGTTATAAAGAAGTTTTTATGTAACGTCTATGGGCATTATAAATTATTTTGTGTTGGTAATTGTTGAGGAAAGAGAGGGAGGTCCTTTTTAGGGAACAGAATTATTTTTGTTATGAATTTGCTTATTTTTTTTGTTTTTAAAGGGACAAGAGAAAAGACACCCGAGAAAAGATCAAGGAAAAGGAAAGAGTGAAAGAGAAGGATAGAGAAAAGGAAAGGGAAAAAGAGAAAGAGAGGGAAAAAGAACGTGAAAAAGAAAAGGATCGGGGTAAAAACAAAGATAAAGACCGGGACAAAGAACGGGAAAAGGACCGGGAAAAAGACAAGGAAAAGGACAGAGAGAGAGAGCGGGAAAAAGAGCATGAAAAGGAGCGAGACAAAGAGAAGGAAAAGGAACAGGACAAAGAAAAGGAACGAGAAAAGGACAGATCCAAAGAGGCAGATGAGAAAAGAAAGAAGGATAAAAAATCCAGAACACCACCCAGGAGTTATAATGCATCAAGAAGATCTCGTAGTTCCAGCAGGTTTGATAATGTTTAAATTTTTTACCAGCGGGTTTACTGATGACAAATGAAAACATGAAGTTTTAACTGAGGGGGAAAAGATCATTCTGAGTAAGTGGGACCAGTACAGTAATATCAGAACATTTCACCCCAATTGCAGAGTAAACATTTCTCTAGCAGAGGGATTGTCCCAGTGTTGCATCTGTGAGAATTGAAGAGATGATATTGGGCAAATTATTTGGAAAGTTTTAACTGTCCATTGTAATCCATGGTTTTAACCTGGCTACTTATTATGTTATTACTCCTTGGAGGGTGGGATGGAAGGGGAAGGCTTTTTAAAAAAAAATAGAGAAGAATTGACATTTAAGGCTTCTTTATTTCTTTGGAATGCTGTGGTACATTTTAATGTGCAAAATGATTTCTAAAGTTGTGATGTTAATCCTTTTTGTTATCTAATTTTTACCTCTGTTTTGTTGAGTGCATGACATTTAAATTTTGACTCTCTTTTTTTTTATCATTTAAGGGTTAGATTTTTTCTTAGGACTATTCTTTCAATTTATTAATAGGTACACTGCCACCAGGTGGCAGTAGGTTGCCATAGTAACAGCTGTAAAATGAGAACCTTCCTTGAGAATCAAGATTATCTAAATCCACATCCCTTACTCTAAATGACAGGTGACTATAAATAAATGGAAGTTACTAAATTGTGTTAAATTATCTGTTAAAATATTAAGTATATATATTTTAGCAAGTTTTAAAGACATTTTAAAGATAGTTTTTTATAGAAAATAATTTGCGATAAAGGAATATCTTTTTTTATCTTGTGTTTTAATAGTTTATTATTAATACTAGCATTTGACAAAATAATAAAAGATATTGCAGCATTTATTGGGTGCTTTACTATTTGCCAGATATTGTCTCTGAGCAGACTTTTTCATTTCTCACCTTATTTGATCCTCACAACAAGCCTGTGAGAACACTATTATTATCACTGTTTTAAAACTTGAGAAAATTGAAGCTTAAAGGAAGTTTTCCATCTGCTCGATACTTTAGTACCAGAAGTACAGTAATTCTTCCCTTCTTTTTAGAGATTAAGTTTGAGAATTCTGGGCTGGCCCGGTGGCACACTGGAGATTGTGCCGCCTGGGAGCGCGGAGGCACTCCCGCTGAGGGTTCGGATCCCATGTGGAGACCCATTCCTGCTCACTGGTTGAGTGCGGTGCGGGCGCGACACCGAGGGTTGCGATCCCGTTGCCGGTCCCCGGTGCGGGTATGACACCGAGGGTTGCGGTCCCGTTACTGGTCAGTAAAAAAGACAAAAAGGAAAAAAAAAAGTTTGAGAATTCTCTAACTGGTACTTGGTACATGCTTTTAAAAATAGCCTCAGAAGCATAAAGTTGAAAGTAATAGTGTGCTAGTATGTTAAAATAGATAATAAACAGATCACTGCCAGATTTGATTACATGAAATCAAAAATTCAGCACATTGAACCAAAAATTGAAGAATTAATTTAATCTCCTTTGCTGAGGGTGTCATTTGAGCCTTGTAACTGTACCGTTACTGCAAAGTGATTTTATTGTGGGTCACACGTACCTTTAATAACTTAAATTTACTTTCTCTGATGACGTTGAAATGTTTAATTTTTTCATGGGCCATTTTAAATTGCTTTATCTTTAAGAAAGTTCAGATGTTCACATTCAGTCCTAAATATATTCTTAAATAACCTCTGAGGCATGGAGAATAAAAGATTGCTGACATTAGTTAATAAAGATGCAGCAATGTGGAATGTTTCATACTTTCAGAAGAGTTTGGTAGAGTTAATGGTTTCTTATCTCTTAGCATTTTTCTGCTTTTCAGATGCTCTAATTTGTTTATTAAATGGGAAATTTTTGAACTGCTCAGAAAAAGTCTACTTAGTATTTTGATTTCCAGCATTGCCTCCTGATGTATACTTTTAAGGAAAATTTTGATGTTTAAAAAATTTTTAATGCTTAAAAGTTACTGCCAATAAAGGTGAAACTAAGAAAGGGAAGGAGAAAATAATATTTATTGAGCACCATGAGCCAAACTCTATGCTTGGTGCTTTGTAGGTATTATCCTAAATCCTCATAACAACCTTATAAGGCTTGAGTTATTAATTATCTACATTTTCCAGTAGAGAAAACAGACTCAGGTTAAATAATGAGACCCCAGTTGTGTAGCTAGTAAGGTGTGGAACTAAAATTTAAATCAAAGTCTAACCAGCGTTGGTTGTTCATACTACAGCTCACAGCTTCTTTCTCAAGTAATTGACAGTGTAGGTTGCCATCTATCCCACCTTAGCTCTCATTATCATCAACTAGTTATTAGACAGTCACTTGTACATAGTGCTTTCTGAGCAAACAAGTAAAGAATTACACTGATTAAGACAGCTATTTTGTGTAAACTTAAGAGTCTGGAATACACTGATATTCTTATGTTATGAGCTGAATATTTTTGGTTCTTAGGCTGAGCTTGTTACAGAATGGCATTGATTGAATGAAATATCTGATTTCCATATTAGTTAGGCCATATAATTTTGGAGTGTCTTAGAAATAGAAGTGGATAATGGAGGAGAGAGCCTTAGGTAAAGTTGGAATTGATTTATTCGTGTTCTCAAAGTTCTTGTGCTAATTTGGTCTTTTTTTTTTTTTTTAACATTTACCATATGTTCCACATATGAGCATTGTTTAGTTTTACAAGTGAAAAACTTACGTAAAATATTTTATTTGCCCAGAATCAATTTACTGAGGTGGTTAGGAGAATTCGAATTCCTAAGGGTTTGGTTCTTTCAACTATGTAGTCACTGATTATCAGAGCTCCTTAAGAGGTAGATCATTGGATACATTAGTTATTTAAATATATCTTTACACCTCATCCCCTGAATTACAGACATGGTGAATTTTATTGTTTCTCCGTTGACCACACTTTACAAATGAAGTAATTTAGAGTATGCATCATTTGCTAAAATGTTAAGCAAAATAGTTTTTAATAGCAAACACTGTTAATCTGTTTAGTAACTATTTCTTACCTTGTCATATTTAAATCCCAGATTTTAACTATTTTACTTCCATCTAAGCAATTTGTACACTCAAATTAATAGAACAACTATAGTGAAATGGTAGGAAGTTGGAGGGAAAAACAATTTCTCTGTAAAGTAATCCTAATGTCAGTGCTCTTTAAGGTACATTCTGAGTACCTGGGTCTCCAATTTCTTTAAGTTCTTACAAAGGGCCTGTTACTGTGTTACAAAATAGTTGGCTGTGGGGCAGCAAGGAGCTAGATGCATGACAAAGGATCTGAAAAGCAAAACATGTTTTAGATGCTGAGAAAGAACATATTTAACTTGAGAGGATCTGAAACATTGTTAATATTTTTTCTACTCAAGAAATTATTGTTCAAATAAATCAGATGAAGAGGAGGTCATCTACCCTTTCTAATATAAAATCTTGGATGATGTTGGTCAGTCTGTAAAATTTATGGTTAATAATTAGACCTGCACTAAAATTAGATAGTGGAACATGTTCATAAAGGACATGAATTTAAACTGGCCTCTGAAGGATACTATTTACTTGAAAGTATCGAGGATCCTTTTGCCTTTGTGTATTTGGATTCTCTTTATTTCAGTTGCTGTTTTTTAAAATAACGATTTTGGCTTTCAGGGAAAGGCGTAGGAGGAGGAGCAGGAGTTCTTCCAGATCACCAAGAACATCAAAAACCATAAAAAGGAAATCTTCTAGGTCTCCATCCCCTAGGAGGTAGGTTGAAAGCATGTTCTAAAACTAAAGAAGAGGAAGCAGGAAATATAAAAAATTTTTTAAAAAATTATCTTCGATTTATTTTTTAAGCTTTTTATTTTGAATGAGTAATATTTGCATTATTCAGAAATTAGATAATATAAAAAGTTATACATTGAGAAGTCTTAACTTCATGCATGTGCCAATCTACTCTGTCCCATAAATAATGACTCTATTAGTTTTTTTGTGTATTCTTCCAGTTTTGTATACAGATAGAAAATGAGAATGTATCATATTTTTCCTTACATAAAAAGTAGCCCAAAATATACACTGTTGTGTACTTGCTTTTATTACTTAATCACCAGATCTTTCCATATTGGTCAAAGAGAGGTTCTTCATTCCTTTTTATAACTGCATGGACTTTGATTGTATGGCAGTACCTTGGTTTGTTTAACCGGCCTGCAGTAGAATGGGTTTTCTGAATTTTCCTATTACAAATTATGTAATGTTGTAATGAATAGTTTTGGACTTAACATCATTTTGTAGTGCACAGGAATGTAGGAAAAATTTCCAGAAATGGTATTGTTGGGTTAGGGAATAGTTGTGTTTGTAATTTTGAGAGATATTTACAGAGTACTCTTCATAAAGGTTGACAGCAGTTTGCACTCTAACTAGCTATTATGAGAGTACTTTTATCCCTACAGCAACAACAGATCATTATCAAAGTTATGGGTTTTTGTCCATTTGATAGGTGAAAATGGTACCATTATCAGTATTTTAGTTGCATTTTTCTTACAAGTGAAAGTGACCACTTTATGTATTCGAATGCCATTTGTATTTCGTTTTCTGTGAATTGTCTGTATGCTTGGTCCATTTTTCTGTTGGGTCTTTTTTTTTTTTTTTTTTTTTTTCCTATTTCCCGGGCCCCCCCCCCCCCCTTTTTCTTACAAGTGAAAGTGACCACTTTATGTATTCGAATGCCATTTGTATTTCGTTTTCTGTGAATTGTCTGTATGCTTGGTCCATTTTTCTGTTGGGTCTTTTTTTTTTTTTTTTTTTTTTTTCCCTTTTCCCGGGCCCCCCCCCCCCCACTTTTTTATTAGGGAGGTTATTCTTTGGTGATATGATTACAAATATTATTCCCAGGTTGTTGTTTCTTTTTACAAATTGCTTATGAGACTTGATTTTACAAAGGCTTTAAAAAAAAATTATTATTTTTTTTCATTCTAAGATGTTGCAGCGAGAGGGAGGGTGGGGCCAGCCCACGGCTGGCTCCTTTGCTGGCCTGGTTGCAGACAGTGGGGGTGGGAGGGTTGAGGGTGTGTGGCTGAGGCCCACAGTACCCCACCACCCCCTACTCCCATGGCTCAGGAGTCCCAGGGAGCTTCCTGCTGCAGCTTGGTCGTGACTGGGCTAGATGTGGACTTGATTTCACAAAGGTTTTTGATTTTTTTTTTTTAAATCTAATTTCTCAACTTTTTTCTTTTATGACTTCTAGATTTTGAACCATAAAATTAGAAAAGTCTTTCCCTATTCCAAGGTTATGATAGAATTCCCTGCATTGTTTCTTCTTGTATTTTTATGGTTTTATTTTTGGTATTTGTCTTTGATCTGTTAGAGTTTATCTGCATGGCATCTGGATTCAATTTTATTTTATTTTTTCAAATGCTTCCCTGCTCTAATAGCATTTATTCAAAATGATTTTTTTCTAACATTAATTTGATATGTTGCCTTTGTCATGTACTAAGTTTTTCTTTATGTGTTTGGGTCTATTTCTGGGTCTTCTATGCTGTTGGATTGGTTTGACCATTTGTGTGCCAGTACCCATGCTTTTAATTATTGATATTGTATGATATTTTTTAATATGTGGTAAGGCCTGTCCTCTTGCACCCCTCATTGCTCTTTTAGGAGCTTTCCTGACCATTCTTGCATGTTTATTTTTCCATTTGAGCATGAGAGTCGTCTCCTTTCCAGAAATAAAGCCTATTGATGATTTTAATTACAGCTGTGTTAAATTTAAAAATTAACTTAGGAAATGTTGATAAATAGATTTATTAATAAACAAAGCTTTATGATGGTGAGTCTTTCAGTCTAGGAACTGAAAGGTATACTGTTCTCCTTTTTTAGGCCATCCTTAATATTTTTCAGGAATGTTCAGTGTTTGTTTTATACAGATTTTATGCATTTACTTAGTTTGTTCCTTGACATTTTTTCTTTTTTGTTTTTCTTATAAATAAACGAGGCCTTTTATTATGTTACCTAATTGGAGGTTAGGTTTGTACCTAGGAAATGTACTGATTTCTGTATATTTATTTTTTAATACCACTGCCTTACTGATTGACATAGTTTTTCAGGTGATTTTCTGTGGTTTTCTTGACATAGTTTTTCAGTTGATTTTCTGTGGTTTTCTTGTTTTAGAAAAGAGAAACTTAAAAAAAGCTTTGCCAAAGTATAAGCAACATGTGGGGGGGGGGGGGGGGGGGGGGCTTTGTTTATTTGCTTGTAAGTTTTTGGTTTGCTTTGATGGAAATAATGGAAGACATAAAGGATACTATAGAGGTGGGCCATGTTTATATTTCTGAAACAAATGCTCAGGAAAGTCAAAACTTTTCTCATTTTTGAACTCAAATTAGAAGGATATATTCAGAACATGTCACCCGCTTCCCCATCCTCTTGTTCCCATTCACCATCTGTAAGTGATCATTTGTTTTATCCTTCCTCTATTTCTTTTTGCAAAATTAAGCAGATACATATTTTCTGATCTCTCCTTTCTTTACAGAAGACAGCATACTTGTGTGAGTGTGTGAGTATGTATGTGTGGGGGGGTATCACTCTCCCCAGCCCCATCAAATTTTTTTGATCAAAATATAATTTAGGTATTATTTTATCATTCACATATAATGTACTCTTTAAGATGTGCAATTCAGTTGTTTTTAGAATGTTCGCAATGTTGTGCAACCCTCACCGTTATTTAATTCCAGAACATTTTTCATCACTTCAAAAAAAAGCCTGTACCCATTATTCCCTCCAGGCCCTGGCAGCCACTAATCTACTTACTGTCTCTCTGGATTTGCCTATTCTGGACATTTCATATATGGACTCATATACTTGGTCTTTTGTATCTAGCTTCTTCACTAAGTGAGTGCAGTGTTTTCAAGGTTCATCCATGTTGTAGCATGAATCGGTATGTCATTCCTTTTTGTGGGTGAATAATATTCCACTATGTGGATAAAAACATATTATATTTATTCATTCATCATTTGGTGGACATTTAGTATTATTTCCATTTTTTTTTTGGCTATTATGAATAATGATGCTATGAGCATTCATGTACAGGTTTTTGTGTGGACATATGTTTTCATTTCTCTTGAGTGGTAACTCTATGAAAGTTAAGTTAACTCTAACTCTAGGAGTGGTAACTCTAGAGGTTAGAGGCAACTCTCACTTTTTGAAGATCCGCCAAACTGTCTTCTAAAGTGGCTGCATCTTTTTATAACCACCAGCAATGTATGAAGGTTCTAATTTCTCCACATCCTTCTCAATGCTTGTTATTGTCTGTCTCTTTGATTGTAGCCATTCCAGTGGGTGTGTAGTGGTATCTTATTGTGGCTTTGATTTGCATTTCTGTAATAATTATGATGTTGAGCATCTTTTGATGTGTCTATTGGCCATTCTGTGGAGAAATGTCTATTCAGGTCCTTTGCCCATTTTGAATTGTGTTTTTCGTTGTTGTTGTTAAGTTGTAGGAGGAGTTCTTCATATATTCTAGATATTAATCCCTAACCAGATATGTGATTTACAAATATAGTTGATCCTTGGGGGAATTGGTTTCAGGACGCCGTGTGGATACCAAAATACATGGATGCTCAGGTTCCTTATATGAAATGGTGTAGTATTTTCTTATAACCTATGCATATCCTCCTATATACTTTAAATCATCTCTAGATTACTTATACAGGGTGGGTGTTCCTAATCCAAAAATCCAAAATCTGATATGCTCCAAAATCTGAAACTTTCTGAGTACTGACATGATTCCACAAGTAGAAAATTTCACACCCAACCTTGGGAGATGGGTTGCAGTCAAAATGCAGGCACACAACACACAATTTATTCAGGGTCTCCGGGTATTCTGGTGATGCTACTGTGCTGCTTAGTCACCCTGAACAACACATTATTTTTTCATTGTATTAATGGTATTTCATATTTTTATTGTTAAGAACTGATGTGTGTGTAAGTTTAAGAAAACAGTTGCTTATCAGTGTCATGTAAGTTCAAAATCAGCAATGATGGTGATGCCAAGCAACCACAGATTGTCCACGTGGTTGGCTGAGACAGTGACACCTTTACTTTCTGATGCTTCAATTTACACAAACTTTATTTCATGCACAAAATTATTAAATATACTGTATTAAATTATCTTCAAGCTATGTGTATAAGGTATACATGAAACGTAAATGAATTTCAAGTTCAGATTTGGGTCACATCCCCAAGATATCTCATTATGTATATGCAAATATTCCAAAATTCAAAAAGTCCGAAATCTAAAACATTTCTTTTTTTTCTTTTTGTCTTTTTTTGTGTCCGGCAACGGATCGCAACCCTCAGTGTCGCGCCCGTACCGGACCAGGACCGGCAATGGGATCGCAACCCTCGGCGTCGCGCCTGCACCTCGCTCAGCCAGTGAGCGGGAACCGGTCCGTATGTGGGATCCGAACCCTCGGCGGGAGCGCCACCGCACTCCCAAGCGGCGCACTGTAGCAGTGCGCCACCAGGCCGGCCCTAAAACATTTCTTCTCCCAAGTATTTTAGATAAGGGATACTGAACCTGTAATACCTAATACAATGTAAATGCTATCTAAATAGTATTTATACTCTGTTTTTTTATTAATATTTTTTATTGGTTTATTTTCCAAATATTTTTGATCCACAGTTGGTTGACTCTGTAGATGCAGAATCCACAGATATGGAGGGGCAACTGTATTTTCTCCCATTCTGTGGGTTTTTTCACTCTCTTAATATCTTTGCAAAGAAGTTTTTAGTTTTTGATTTTTTTACATAAAGGAATTTATTTTTTAATTGACACATATTGATTGTACATTTTTGTGAGGTTCAGAATTATATTTTAATATGTGTATACAACGTGTAAAGATCAGATTAGGGTAATTAGCCTGTTCATCATTGTAGAACTTTATCATTTCTTGGTGATGAGAACATTTGATCTGTCTTCTAGACATTCGAGAACATACAGTAAATTGTTGTTAATTGTAGATGCCTAGCACAATTATATGCCATTAGCACTTGTTTTTTTCTATCTGGCTCTAATTTTGTGTCAATTAACCAACCTCTTCATATTTCCTCCTCCCCCTCCTGCTCCCAACCTCTAGTAACCACCGTTCTACTCTCAACTTCTAAAAGTTCAACTTAGTATTTTTTAGCTGGTGCATATGGGTGAGGACATGTGGTATTTATCTTTCTGTGCCTGACTTATTTCACTTAATGTAATGTCTTCCAGACTCATCCACTTTACCACAAATGACAGGATTTCATTCTTTTTCATGGCTGTGTAGTATTCCATTGTATGTGCATGTGTGTGTGTGTATGTGTGCACACCATATTTTAAAAGTTTTTAATTTTGATGAAGTCCATTTTATCTGTTTGTTCTTTTGGTGTCATGGCTAAGAAATCATTGTCAGATCCAGTATTATGAAGGTTTTCCCCTATGTTTTTTCCTATGAGTTTTATAGTTTTAACTTTTATGTTTAGGTTTTTGATTCATTTTGAGTTGATTTTTGTATGTGATGTGAGGTAGGGGTGTCTAACTTCATTCTTTTGCATGTGGATATCCAGTTTTCCCAGCACCATTTGTTGAAAGGACTGTCCTTTGTTGAAAATCATTTGTTTGTTTATGTGAGAGTTTCTTTCTGAGATCTCTGTTCTATACCACTGGCCTAACATGTCTGTCCTTATGCCAGTACTGTTTTGAATATTGTAGCTTTGTGGTAATTTTGAAATCAGGGAGTGTGTCTTCCAACTTTGTTCTTTTTAAGAATGTTTTGGCTATTTAGGGTCCCTTGATATCCATATGAATTTTAGGGTGGGTTTTTCTATTTCTCCTAACAATGCCATTAGGATTTTAATAGGGATTACATTGAATCTGTAGATTGCCTTGTGTAGTATTGTCATTTTAACTGTATTAAGTCTTCTAATCCATGAATATGGGACATCTTTCTATTTACTTATATTTTTAATTTCTTTCAGCACTGTTTTGAGATTTTCAGTGTTATAATTTCTTTTTTTTTTTTGCCTCTGGTTAAATTTATTCATAAGTATTTTATTCTTTTTGAGGCTGCTGTTCCCTTGATTTTTTTTTTTTTCTTTTTAACTTTTTCTCTTGATTTTTAATATATGAAGACATACACACACAAATCTGTTGCAAATATTTGTCAGTTATCTTTTGAATGTACTAATGGTGGCTTTTTGTTTTATTTTTGCCTTACAAAAATTTATGCAGACAAATTTATCGATATTTTCTTTTATGTACCTAGAGTGTTAGTTATGGTTACAAAAAATTTTCCTTCACCCTTATAACCCCAAGGTCCTTCACCCAAGTTATAAAGGAATTCACCCATGTTTTCTTCTAGTACTTGTATTGTTTTATTTAAAAATTTAGCTCTCACCAGAGGCAAGGAAAGGGAGGGGTATGGAGGTATGGGGAAAAGTTGGTAGACAGGTATAAAGTTACAAATTTACAGTTAGATAGGAAGATTAAGTTCTGGTGCTCTAGGATGCTAATGATATTGTATTGTATGATAGATATGCTGAGTATTCTGATTGGATCATTATACAATATATGCATGTATTGATTGAAACAGCAAACTGTACCCCATAAGTATGTACAATGAAAAAAATAAAAATAAATTAAAAATTTATGTCTCTAATCCAATTGGACTTATTTTTATATGTAGAATGAGATATAGATCCAATTTTATCACTTTCTGAGTGATAATTCAGTTGTTCCAAAACCTTTTATGAGAAAAGATCTTTAGTGATTCGAAATGTCATCTGTTATACTAAATTTTCATTTGTGTTTGAGTATTTGTTCCATTGGTCTTTGCGTCTGCATATTATAAAAACATTCCTAATTAAGAGAAAAAAGTTGAGAGTTAAATATTAGTGCTGTTTTGAGAAGAAGCTATCTATTATGCTTCTAATATGAAGTGCATCATTTTTTTCTCTATGATCTTTTTTTGTTTTTCCTATAATCTTTAGGTTGTGTTACTTTTGAAAATGGTATCTTGTTTATTTCATCATCTGCTTAATTTTTGCATTTGAATTGGTGGGACTTCTTCTAATGGTGGTTGAGGAGGGAGGTGGCACAGTAGGTTATTTGAAGTTCCAAGCTTTGCTTGTAGTCATTCTACCCTGCCTGGGAGCCACACCTGATTCTTTATCCTTTTTATTCCTTTCTGCTTATTCATTTATTGCTTTGAAAAGGTGCATAAGAAAGCATTATATTTTGTTTTATTTTATCCTTATTACAGTAGATAAGTAAATCTTGAATATTTGAAAATTCATAAACTGACAATACCAAATTGTGTTTTATGTGAACACATCATGGCTGTTGCAAAAATGATTCGTGTATCTTTAAAAAGCTAGTTGGAGTAAGGGTTGAAGTAGGTTGGGTTACAGGATGCATTTATGTTACTTTGTCAAATCAGCTTACTGCTATGCTTATTTACAATGCATTATTTTAGATATTGTGTGTTAGATAAGGATATTTTGTTGAGAATATAAGGTCTCTAATTTCTTAGAAGTTAACTGGCATATTATTAATATTCTTATAGCAGAAATAAGAAAGATAAAAAGAGAGAAAAAGAAAGGGACCACATCAGTGAAAGAAGAGAGAGAGAACGTTCAACCTCTACAAGAAAGAGTTCTAATGACAAAGATGGGAAGGAGAAGTTGGAGAAGAACAGTACTTCATTTAAAGTAAGCAGCAGTCAACCATTCAGTGTCTGGGCATTGACTGATTAGTTGAGATTGTTCTTTATGGTATAGAAATAATTTCAGACTAAAAGCCTCTTGAGGGCAACAGTGTCTTCTTGGGGGCTTCATTGTTAGTAATTTTTTTTGTTGTTGTTCCCTTGTTTTCCATAAACATTGTTGATATTTTTTAATACTTGTTAACTTGATAATTTTTTAAAACTAAATTCTGAAGAGATGAGAGCCAATTAAAATGTAAATAATTACATTCCTTATTTTAGAGGAATCATAAAATGGCATACAATAAGAAAATTTTTGGTAATGAATATATTCAGGTAATGAATATATTCTATTTTATACTGATAAGATTTCTACCTGATGCTATTTTCCTCAATATATGTTTTAAAGCAAATTTGACAAGACTTCCTGCTGTCATTGATTTTGTAATATGTAGTTAAAATTAGGTTTGTTGGATTAGAATGCTTTTAATGGAAAACCAAATTCCTTCAAATAAGCTTTTTCTTGGATAAATGTTTAAGTACTTGGGAATTATATTAATTTGGAAATTATTTATGAGTTCTGGAATTTACATTTTACAGGTTTGTTTTTTTTTTTGGTGACTGACCATTACAGGAATTGAACCCTGGACCTTGGTGTTGTCAGCACCACACTCTCACCAACTGAGCTAACTGGCCAGTCCCTGTCTTACAGTTTTATTTACTCTCAGACTGGTAGCGGTTTACTGTCATGATCAATAACATTGATAACATTTATTGCAAATTTGTTATGTGCCAGGTACTGTTCGTTCTCTTTTAATTCTCCCTTAAGCTGAGGACAGAGTTTGGACTGTTCTTGAACAGTCTTTCTAGGAGGAGTAGTGACTTCTTTTTCTATATTCCCTTATTTTTGCTTCTCTGGTAACCACATTTCAAATCTGTCCTGGCATCTTCGGAGACTGTCTCACTCTTTCAACAGATATAGCCCACTTTTTCAAGTGTCTCAGCAACACTTATTGAGCACTTTCTCAGAATTTCTGTTCACCTATTTTATTCTAGTTTAATTTCCATGGATGGTCTGTCTTTTATGAAAAGTACAAAGGGCATATTGATATGTGTTTACATATTTTTATAATGGGAGAAAATACGCAGTTTTATTAATTCACAAAAGATAAGGTTATGTATTTTAGCCATAATAGCAGACAATTCTTGAGAAAATATTAAATGTGTACCTTAATATTTATTGAAGGAGAAGGAGCACAATAAAGACCCAGATTCAAGTGTGGGCAAAGAAGTAGATGACAAGGACACCCCAAGGACTGAGGAAAACAAAGTACAGCAGAATGGGAATTGTCAGCCCAATGAAGAAAACCTCTCCACCAAAACAGAAGCAGTATAGGACCGACAAATGCAGCTCTACACTCAACGCTGGAACAAAAGCTTTTAATACTCTCAGCAGGATATAAACAGGGAAGAAATCTAGTTGAGCATAAAGATAGGAGCTAACAGCTTTTCTAGTTGTTAGATGACTTTGTGGCCATCTTGTTACTGAGTAAGAAAATAAAGCATGGACATCATGACAATAACAGATGTTACCCAAACTCTTCATCTTCTAAAATCTGCATTTCCATGGTGGCTGACACGCTTGTCCTGTGGTTTGTTAGTGTTTGCCAAGAACCATTGCAAATAAACTGAACATCAAAGATCCAAATTTGTACTATCCCTAAAGACTGAAGATAAGCATTGGAGGCTCTAAAAAAATGCTAGTTACTGAATTTTGTATTGCTTTACTTTTTTTTTTTTCCAGTATATACAGTCTGATGATGTGCTTGAAACTGGTGCAAATGTATACACACCCTTGTAAGTGCAAAGTATGTAGGAAGTTTTAACATTTACTTCACAGGATTTACAGTGATTGTGTTAATTCTCACTATTGTGTTTTCTTTTGCTCACTGTTTAGGACAGCAGTTTTTCTTTAAAATAGTTTTACAGATTAATTAAGTGGATAAAAAAACAACTGACAATAATGCATGCTACTGTTCTCTTTGAAAAGGAAGAGCAACTGTGTTGAATACTAATAATAATGTATTAGTATTCAGTGTTTAGAATCATTGGGTCTACCCACAAAGTGAGCATTTCTTTTTGAACTTCCTTGACATTTCCAAGCTTATTATGAATAATATTGCAGTGTGTCTTGTCAGCTGTAGGTAGCAAAGGTGCCCTTACAGAAAGGAAACTGGTTTTCAAAATGGGCTATGGGAGCACAAGCTAAAGCTTTAGTGCCTTCTACAATGTGGTATACTGTTTTCTAGAATTTTATATGTGCTAGTCATCCTCAACTTACGTGGAATCTAGATGGATATTCCATTCACACCCATAGAGAAGTGTGCAAGTGGTATGTCAGAAGAGCTTCTCACTTCACCTGGTATGAGAAGGAAGTCCTGTTTTCAAGAGTGACTTCAGTGTTCAAAATAACAATGCAGTTTTGGGACCATCAGTTTTATACTGTGATAATTGAAAATGAAACATGTTATTTTTCTTAAATCAAAGGAAACTCTTTAATTGTCTGCATTGGATGGCCTTAATTATTACCTCTTTATCATCTTCTCATAAATGATGTGCAGAAATTATACTTAAAGGGAGGACTAGGAGTATATGGGAGGTTATTTGTTTTATGTTTGAGCATATGTTTACTTGAGTTTAAGATATATAGGTCATTCGTCATTCTTAGGCTCACTTTTTGCAGAAAGCATGAAAGTAGTAAAATGACAGCATTGCTAATGATTTTCCCCAAAAATATTACTTGTAGTTTCTGAACTCTTCATTATTGTTGTACTTTCAAAAACGTGATACCTTTCAATTAGCATGTTCTTAAAAAATCAAGTATAATTACTTTAATGCAATCGAATACAATCAAATTACTCAGTTGCCTTACCTCATGGGAAGAGTTACTGTTATAAATTGAAAAAGCTGAGTAGTATGTTAGTTACTTGGTTTCAGCTTGAGTTTCCTTTTAATGTTAATACTGTTGAAACTTAAGTATTTGGTAAAGAATGGAAAGAGATCCTCTTATTTCAAGTAACGAAGCCTGGTTTGATTATGAAGCTGCTTAATCATTCTTCATGTGTAAAGAATTACTGTGTTTTTTTGTTTTTGTTTTTTCCTTTTTGTCACTGTGTACATTAAAATTTTGGAAAATGCTTTACTATGTAAAGTATAGATGGTCATTTTAATCATTCAACCACATGCGGTTGGCTGGTAAACAGCTTATTCTGATACAGGAATGCTTGGGTGCATATGGAAAGATTGTGAAGGAGTGTGTGTCTTGCATCAACAGCTGTCTTATTTATGATATGAAGTAGAATAGAGCAAATGTTTGAATCTTTGTTATCTTTAGTACCATTTCTCTAATAAAACTAAGTATTTTAGAGGAAAATATTTGTTTATGCATTTCAAAAAAAGCATCTTAGTTTCATCCTTGTTTTGGTTAGCATAGAGGTTGTTTTGACACGGAAAGTGCACGTGTTTGTGTGGTGTCTATAAAACAATCACTTAAAGTTTGAGTGTTTGCTTGTACTTGACTCTCAAATGGTTTTTATGTTGATAATTAACACTTAATTTGGTTCCTGATTCTAATCCTTTTTCTTGGTGATATTTATTCAGCTTTAAAATAATCATGCTAATTTTGAAAGACACTGATTTGTGAAAGCTGGGAATGAGTTAGGAATACAATAGATCTGGAGAAAGTGAAATCAGATTATTATGTAGGATTTGACATTTGCTTACATGGGCTTATGGAGCAAAGATTTCCAGAATCTAGAGATTTTATGTGTCTGTGTGTGTGAGTTTGTGAGTGTGAGAGAGACAGACCTATTTTCTCTTTGTTCACTTGCAAGAGCTGATATGTTTCCATTTGCTTATTTTCTTTCAAGATTTTTGTTGTTGCTGTTTTTGTTTAAGGCTAGTCTTTTTTCATCCCGGGTAAATGTCAGGGAAACTTGGGGTAAGGCCAAGAAGACACCCCTTGTACACTTGATACCTTCTGTAGTTATCTTTTTTTGCTTAATTATACAGAGTACACACTGTTCCTTAAGTTACAGTTGCTATTCATCATTCTAGACAAATTCTGTTGGTCCTCTTATTCTTGCTTTTAGCAGTGTACACTGGACTGGTAACACAAGATGGTCCTTCATAAGCTAGCTCATCGGTTTCATGTGTGAAAATTTATAAATCCCTAACTTCTGCCATTATCTCCTTAGTTATTATTTTCCATCTAATCTAATTAACTTATAATTATAAACACTAGTCAGCTTGTGATCTTCCCCGTGTTTAGAATTCTTTTTTTTTGAAGAGGTTCAATATGAGCTATGTTGACCTTCAAGAAGTGTCAGAGGCTTAAATTTTGACATGCTCAATTGCAAATATGAATGCATTTATAATCAGGAGGGGGTTCTTTTTTTGGTCAAGAAGATAATTTCTTTTGTGATAATAATTTTTCAGGACCCTCAGTCATTCCTATGTATATGTTGCTATCTTTATTTTAAAACTTCAGAAAAAGAACTCTGATCCAAACCTGCTCTCAACTGAAGGTATTAAAATTTAAGGTTTATAATGTATAGTAATAGGCTTTAAAATTTTTAAACATCTGTGAGAAATAGAGTATGATTTGATTTAATCATTTTTCTGTAGTTGAATTAACAATTAAAATGAATCCTTTTGAAGGGATGCATTGAATAACTTCATTGAGTCATTTCTTATATTATCATTATAAGATAGTATTTGATTTTAATGGAGTACATTATGAAGTAGAGCCACTCCCACAAAGTAAAAGTGCAGTGACCATATGTTCCTTATGTATTTAAATGTTTTTTATTTTCACTACCTATATACTTAGTATATTCTCATGTTTATTTACTAATGTAATATTCACTTAAAATTGTTTATTTTCAAATTTCAAAAGTTAGTGCTCTTAAAAGCGCTAAATTATATTCCTGGAAGCAGGAGTCTAGTATAAATGTAATAAAATAATCTTTTAAAATAAAATTGACTTCCCTACTTAATCTTGGGTTTGTGGGTGAGTTTGTTTGGTTTTTAATACACTATTATTGGTGGTTTTGCCTAAAGAGTGATATACGTCATTTTGAAAATAAAAGCAACAGCCATTTATGAGTTTTGGTCCAAATGCAGACAGGTTGGATTTAGTGACATAACTAGATCTCTTCATTCCATTCTAAGGTACTTGTATAGTTTGTAGCAATTAATTTGTTACAATTATTAATTAGCTTATGTCTAATATAACATTTCTTGATACAGTGTTTTTAAAAGTGGATTTTGAGTCTGTTGCCTTTTTAAATTTGTATCTAGCTAAGATTTTAATTTTGAAAATTGCCAACTTTTGGGAGACTTCACATATTTTACCTCTAAATCTTATTTTTCCAGGATTGGAATGGAGTAGTAGTTCTTTCTATTGATTAGTTTTTATTTGCTAGACAGATAACTTAATTATATATGTAAATTCAAGTTCTTGAAAATCTTACTGAAAGAATTAGAGAGATTGATTTCTACCAGTATAAAGGTATTGGTAGGCAGCACATTGTTGGGGAATAACCTCCAGAATTCCTGACTTCCACTAAAGATTAACTTTGAGTATACTGTGTAGTGATATAGATCAATTTAATAGTTAATAAATTACCCTCCTTAATCTTGATTAGTTTAATAAAAAGGTGCTATGGATTATCAAGGGAAGAGTTTAAAATGTAAACATAAAGATGCATAGGTTGTGTATATTTATGTGAGTAGGACTACTTTTAAATGGTACTAGTAAAGATTTATCAACATGCTGCTATTATGTTGCTATATTTTTAATAAAATGAAAATCTTAAAATCTTGCCACTGTTGAGTAGTAATTTCACCTATTTCTAGGACATTTATTTGGATATTTACAGCTTATTTTGATAACTGAAAGGTGTAATAGGCTCTTCCAGGATTCAAAATTACAACCAAAATTGAGGTTTTTGTGTATTATAGGGCGATCTTCATGTTGTGTGGCAGTCACTCTACACAATGCTTTTCATATTAAACATTTTGCAGTGTTTTAGTAAGTGATAGCTACTCTTTGAATCTCCCTTTGGTTCATGGAATCTGCTTCTTACTAGGATATTTGTACAATGAAAATTGTCACTTTGTCTTTAACAGCAAATGGAATGCCTTCTCCCATTTATCAAAAATGTAGCTTTGCGGGCCAGCCCGGTGGTGCACTGGATAGTGCGCCGCTTGGGAAGCGCGGCGGCGCTCCCGCCCGAGGGTTCGGATCCCACATACAGACCGGTTCCCGCTCACTGGCTGAGCGAGGCGCGGGAGCAACGCCGAGGTTTGCGATCCCGCTGCCGGTCCCCGGTCCGGTACGGGGCAACACTGAGGGTTGCGATCCGTTGCCGGACACGGAAAAAAGACAAAAGACAAAAAAAAAAAAAAAAAAAAAAATGTAGCTTTGCATTTGGTGAATGAGCTGCATGCTCAGGGTGGTCATTTAAGTG